TAGTTTCGTATGAAACAGGAAGCTCATTTGTCTCTATCTTGTTTATCTCAAATGAGCCTTCGTTTTCGACAATCTCTCTAACTTCTCCTTCGTTCGGTATATAGAATGGTAAGTTGAATGAGTCCACTTGTGATTTCTTCACAATTCCCTGTCACTCACAAACATTTTCTTTCTTCTTGAATTTGATTATATAAAATGTTATAAATCAGGCAAACGGAATTTACATTTCGTTAGTAATAAAGTTAATTAATGAGTATAGTACCTCGGAAACTAGATCGGCCAGTGCATCAGATAAGAAGGACCAACGGTGGAAACCGTCTCTGGATAAAGGATCCAGATCTTTTTTGCCAGCGAGCGTGAGAACCATACGTCCACTAGGCAACATTTCTTCGGAACGCAATCTCAAGAACAAAGAGAAATCATTTTGGAACTGATTCATATAACTTTTACACACATCTAAAGAGCATCCACTTCTAATGTATACGTTCTTCTCATTATCTTCAAGCCCTTGAGGAACTTTGGAAAGCCAGTGAATACTAAAAGACGAATGAAGAAAATGAAGAGATTTTTTAGGAAAGAGTCTAGAGTAGAAGGAGCCCGGGACTCCGTATACGTAACACTTTCCTTTAACCTCCTTGTTGAAGGAAGGAACCAACTTGAATGTCGTATTGAAATCGTTTTCTGGAAGATCGTTTAGACAATAATCGATCTCTGGTGGGTTTTGAGATTTTTGTTGGTATGATGTTATGATTGTGTTGACGATTTGGAACATGACCAAAAACGTGTTTTGTCCTGAAGAACATCCCAAATCTGCCACTTTGATGCACTCAGGGAAATTCATTTTAAGTAACATTTCTTCAATGTTCTCTTCCACGACCGGTCGTGTTTTAGAGATAACGTTTCTCTACCAACCCCGAAAATAAGAATATTTGTAAATATCAATTGAAAATACACAAACGAATATATATACTTCTTAATCATAATACCTGAAGTACGAATTAATACCTGAAAACGAGAATTACTAGCGTAACTAAGTTCTCCATCACCTCCATTCATACTAAGAGCATTCATGAAAGAGTTCCTAAGATGTATAAACAGAGATTAATATATATTAGCCATTTAAAAAAACTCCACTTACCATTTTATTCCAAAGAAAATAATCGTTACCTTGAGGAAGACATGGCGATGTATACGAAGGAAATTATTACAAGATAACTATAAAAAAAACTCCTGCTACTCTTTTTGATTATATGCAGGTACTGTCACTGAATGGTAGTCGAGTCATGCTTGGGGAAAGCGATATATATGCTATTTTTAATTCGGTTTTTATAAAATAAAGTTTCTTTTGCGGGGAAAAAAAAATATCAATTAGACTTACGGCCAAAAATAATAATAACTGAACCTTTCACGTGAATAATGCAAGTGAATTGGACCTCTTACGTGTCTTTCACTAATCATTCCTGGACCAGCCAAAATAATCTAGACAAACAAAAAAACAACAGATATTTCAAAAATGTGACCGACAATAAGTAATTAGTAACTATTTGTTTTTTTTTTTTGATCGAAGTAACTATTTGTTTAACCTTTAAGATTCTCCTTGAAGTCAAAGACAACATGGTAATACATTTTATCCCTCTATTTATAAATATAATCCACACTTAACGCATGAATCGTATCATGAAGAAGAAGACATGATTCTTTAACCATTCGATCATGTGATATTTTATTGTTACAAACTTGTGAGAAAAATAATAAAAACTGAAATCATTACAAAGACAGACTGATTTTATTGGAGATCAAAGAATATAAAGAAACCAACTTATTTGCTGTTTGATTCTTTGTACAAAATCAACCAAC